TATAGGTATATGGATGGGTAGATGGATGGGTGTCTAGACAGGTAGGTGGGTGGATGGATGGATAGGTAGACATACAGGTGGGCAGGCAGGTAACTGGATGGATGAACAGACAAATCGGTGGATGGATGCATGGGTGGATGAATAGACAGACAATGAGTAGGTGGATGGATGGATAGACGACAGGTGGGTAGATGGATGTATGGACGGGCAGATGGATAGGTGGGTGGATGGATAGATGGACAGACAACATATGAATGAACAAACTTCCCAAGTGGGGACCAGTGTGGGGTTTTGGGCACATGTCTTAAATCTTGGGAAAGGGAAAAACTTGGGGGGGCTCTTCAAGATGACTGGACCCCACAGGTAGGGGCTGCTCCCGCAGCAGGTCTGGGCGAGAAGCTGGTTCACTGTGATCACTGCTCCACGCAGTGCTCGGTCACGCAGTAGGCGCTCTTGTCCAGCCACAGCCGGGCTGTTGGGATGGTGAGCCAGGCAACATTCACACCTCAAGGGGAATCCACGTTTGGAAGGATGGCCAGGGAGGGGACTGTGGCGTTCCTTAAATCCTTCATCTTTGGGCTGCATCAAAGGCCTCTTTCTGCAATGTAAGGAAGCCTTTCCCGGCACTTGAGAAGTCAGTTCATGACCCCAGTCAGCCCCTCCCTTGGCTTCTGGTCGCCGTCCTGGAGTCTGCAAGGTACAGAATAATAACTACTGTCAGGAGCTGTATTGTGAAGGTCAGTAGGCACCGGGCTAAGCACTTTGTGCTCCTTATCAGGCTGGGCTGAGACATCAGTATTACTGTCCTTGTTTTACAGATGAACTTGAGGTGCAGAGAGGTCAGGTCAGTTGCCTGAGGACACACAGCCCAAGTCTGTCTTTAACACTGGTTGGAATAAACTCCAGGTCGCCAGGTGTGCTGTGAGGGACGAGGGTTGGGTGATGGGCTCTCCCGCCCCACCCATCCTGCCTGCCGACCTCTCCATTCACCGGACCCTATGTCTGCAGGATGTGGTCCAGCCTGAACGAGTGGCTGTGGCAGGACAGGTTCTGGCTGCCAGCCAACAACTCATGGGCTGACCTAGAGGACCGAGATGGCTTGGTCTACCCCCACCCCCGGGACATGCTGATGGCCCTGCCCCTGGCGCTGGTGCTGCTGGCCGTGCGCTTTACCTTTGAGAGGTGAGTATCCGCTGTGCCCTGGCACGTCGTCCCTCGTGTTGTGGCAGCCACCTGGTGCTGCCCCACCTGCATGGTTTCATCCTAACGTGTCCCTGGTTGGAGCCTGGCTTTGATCAAAGTGCTTTTCCTGACTCAGTCCTGCCCCCAGCTGCCACCACTCGCACTCTTCTGATCGCTGATGCCCGGTGTTGTGGACCACTGCCCAGAGCTCTGGTCTGGGTCTGCCAGCGTCTTCAGAAAATGAGTAGGGGGCCTGGAGGGGGATGTACCCGCTTTGCTGCCCATGGACAGGTCTGCAGAGGCATCGTTCCTGCCCCTCCCCACTCCCTCAGCACCGTCTGGGCATCTCTCCCCCCACCACCCCGCCCTCTTCCCCACCCTTTTTCCCTCCTTGCTTTTTCCAGCACCTTCCAAAGGCAGCCAAAGGAAGAGGCATGGGCACTCCAGCTCCTTATGGTCCCCTCCACTCACCCCCAGCCTCCTGCAGCCTGGCATCCGGCCCCTGAGTCTATGCCACCTGCCCAGATTCCCAGTGACCTCCTGGTTGCCAAACCCCGTGGATTTTCAATCATTTCTCATGTACCCTAGATGCTGCTCCAAACTGGGGTCCCTCCTTTCTCTGGCTGTCCATCTCCTGGACGTGGGTATCTCTCCTGAGGTCCCTCTGTCCCAGGTGGTCGCGCCCTTTCCCACTTGATCAACAGCTCCCAGACCCTCCTTGCCAGGCCCTTTCCTGCCAGACTGCCTGCAGCCCTTCCACATGGCCTGCCCCGCCCCGCCCAGATTCCCCCTCCATGCCCTAGGGCCCCTCCCCCTCCTCCACTCCTCATGTGTGATTTCAGGCCCCCCACCTTCTTGGTGACCCCCTGGCCCTTGCACTCACTCCCCTGCAGTTCCTTCCAGGCTGGGTTCCCAGGACTCCTGCCCCTCCCCCTACAGAGCCCTTCAGCCCTCCCCCCCCGCCCCCACTTTGGGTCCCCTCCTTTGTCCCACCCTGAGCACAGGGACACGGGAGCATCCTGCACCTTGGTCTGGCTTCTGCACTCATGACGAGCCTCCTGGGGCCTGGGCTCCCTGGATGCAGGCTGGACCCAGGGAGCCCAGGGAACATTCTTAAACATGGTATTTAACAGACGCTGTTTGAGCTTTTACACTGGGCCAGCCACTGCTCTAAGCAGTTGCGTCTTAACTCAGCCCTCATTGCAACCCTGTGAGGTGGTACTGTTATTAACCCCATTTTATGGGAGTGGCACTGGAAGTACAGAGAGGTCAAGTGACCTGCCTGAGGACACACAGCAGGTAGGTCTGCAGGAATTCGGGGAGGCCCAATTCAGCCAGGCCCTGAAGGACAGGTCTGTTTTCTCACGTATTTAGCTGATGGCTCCAGCTGAGGTGGGGGTGTTAACTTGCCCCAGAGGCGCCCCTTGCCTTTCCGAAGGGCAGTGGGATTGGAGGCAGCTTTTCTGGGGTCAAAGGCAAGGGTTTTTCCCGTTAAGTGAAGGTGAATCCTGGTTTCCATTTCCAGGTCTGCCACTCACTTGGGTGTATTTCTGACCTCTTTGAGCCTCAGTTTGCACATCAGGACAATGGGGACAATAATAATAGGGCTTAGTGAGCCAGCACGTGAGGTGGACTTGGACACTAGCCTGGAAGATCATAAACGTTCAATAAACATGTCATGTCCATTCTTATTCCCCCCACCCCACCCCTGCGCCCCAACACAATTGAGTCTGACACAAGTTCTTGCTGGGCTGCCCAGAGCCTCAGTTTCCCCAAATGAAAGGTGATGTTGGCAAGGCGGACAGGAAATTCCCTCCTGACCCCTGGTCTTGGGGGCCCCCTTGTGGACAATTTGGTGATTGACTGATCAGGGTCCTGGCTCCTCCCAGTGTCTACGCTGGAGGAGGGGTCGGGGTGCTGGGAGGAGGGAGGCCAGAGAGGAAGCAGAGCTGCTCCTGCCCACAGGGAGTCCCCAGCCCGGTGGGAGGCACCCAGGACCCAGGCCACCATGAGTCTGGTGGGGAGGGGACTCTCATCCCTGTTTTGGGATTGACAGTGCCTGGCTACCCCAAAAGTTGCCCTTCTTCCTCCATCCCCAAGACCATTCCAGCTGCCTTTCTTAAGTTTGGCCCCATGCAGTGGTCAGGCCACCCCCTCCAGGGTCCCAAGACGCGACCTAGCCCTTCCGGGCCTCCATCTCCCCGCCTGGACTGACGGGTTGCCTCCCCTACACCCAGGTTCGTCGGCCTGCCCCTGAGCCGGTGGCTGGGGCTGCGCAGTCAGACCAGGAGGCTGGTGAAGCCCATTGCCGCTCTGGAGAAGCACTTCCTGACGGAAGGGCAGAGGCCCACGGAGGTGAGGTCCCCCGACCCTCTCCTCCAAACCCAGTGGCCTGCTGGGCTGCCCTGGGGGCAGTATGTGCCCAGTTGTTGGGGGTAGGGAAAGGCCAGGGCAGCCTCTGATACCCCCACAGTGCCCCCCCACCACTTCACTGGGACCCGCATCAGCAGGCCTGTTCTGGGGGCCCCCCACTCCCAAAGGCGGTCCTCTGACCCTCCCTCTAGTCCCATCCGCAGTGGGTCTGCCTGGTGGGCAGGGTCTGGGCTGTGGGAGGTGCTGGGCTGGGTCCTGGGGGAAGCAGGGAAGGGGGCGTCTCCATCCCTTGGGCGGGGGTGGTAGGCAGCTCCTGCGGAACAGAGTGCCTGTGACCCCCCCATTGTCAGTCTCCCTCCGCAGGTCGGAGTTGGGGAGGGGGTGCAAGAAAACCTCTGCGGGGGCTGCCCCCCCCCAGCCTCTTTCTTAATCCCAGTCCCCATCAGTCACCTGCCTGGGAGCAGAGATGGGTTTTTGTAAGGCTTATCCTGGGGGCCACACCCCGTGAAGAAGCCCCCTAGTCCCCCACCTCCATAGGCAGACAACCCCTCAGGCGAGGTCTGGGGCCGCAGGGGATGGCCTGCCTGTCCCGAGACAGAGGCAGGAAGCCACCTCTGTGACCCTAGCCCCCATCACCCCCTCCCCAGCCCCAGATGACCCTCCTGGCCGCCCAGTGCGGCCTCACGCTGCGGCAGACCCAACACTGGTTCCGGAGACGCCGGGACCAGGACCGGCCCTGCCTGAGCAAGAAGTTCTGTGAGGCCAGGTAAGCGCAGGGCGGGCTGGGGAGGGGTGTTGAGGGTGCGGCGGCGGGGGCGGGGGAGGTCTGCCCCTTTGACAGCTGCCCCATGGGCTCCGTCCCCTCCCACAGTTGGAGGTTCGTCTTCTACCTGTGCTCCTTCATCGGTGGACTCTTGGTCCTGTACCACGTGAGTGTCCCTGACAGCTTATCTGCCCCTCCGCCTATCCCACAAGCACCTACTCAGTGCTAGACCTGGACTGGATGGGGAGGGGGTGGGGTTCGGGCAGAGGGGAAGACATGTGCAAAGGCCCAGAGAGGGTAGAGAGAACATGGTAAGGTCGTGGTGAACGTTCACTCAGTGGGTGCCTACTGAGGACCTACTGTGTGTCAGGGCTGGGGATTCTGAATAAGCACCTTGTCTACAGTGAGAGCAGCACACCGAGGGCCAGGGAGCCCTGAGGAGGCTGGGGTGGGGGGCTGGGTTCTAAGCTTTGGACAGCCTCAGACTCCCACGTCCCTGCAGGAGTCGTGGCTGTGGACGCCGGTGATGTGCTGGGACAATTACCCAAAGCAGGTGAGTGGCAGGGCGTGTTTGCAGGCTGGTGGGAGGGTCAGGGTGCTCAGAGTTCCTGTGGCCACAGGCAAGTGAACCAAAGCTGGACATCATACCATAATTCCCCTCCGATTCCCACTTATTTTTGCCTTCCCTGTGGAATGGAGAGGGGCCAGGAGTCGGGACACTCAGAGCAGGAGCTGCCACAAAACTACTGCCCTTTATTACCTCCAGGGATGGGGGGCTCATGCCTTCCTCACTCACTGGGATTCAAGTGTCGTGGGTTTGAGCAAATGGGGAGGGGCCTGCCCCATGTCTCTGCCCCACAGGAGCCTCCACTCCCCGTGGCTAACTTTGCACACCTCACCACAGACCCTGAAGCTGGCCCTGTACCACTGGTACCTCATGGAGCTGAGTTTCTACATCTCCCTGCTGATCACGCTGCCCTTCGACATCAAGCGCAAGGTGAGGCCAGGCCAAGAGTCCGTCTGAAGAAGTGAAGCCCTGGAGCGGTCATGACCCGCACACCCTGAGACCCTTGGTGCCTCAGGCAGGAGGTGCAGAGTCCACACGCCCAGCAGCCCCCTGGAAGGGCCTGTCCCCAGCCCTGAGGGCTGTGATCCCTCCTTGGTCTCCCGCAGGATTTCAAGGAGCAGGTGGTGCATCACTTCATAACCATCACCCTGATCGTCTTCTCCTACAGCGCGAACCTGCTGCGCATTGGCTCTCTGGTGCTGCTGCTGCATGACTCCTCCGACTTCCTGCTGGAGGTGGGCCCGCCCCTGCCCTCCCGGGGCCCCTGGAGCTGAGGTGCCCCCTCCCCTGTCAGTCTTCCTGGGCAAAGAAGCTTCTCCCATTCACAGACACACTTTTTATGTTTCTGGGCAGTTCCTAGAGATAAGACCCTGCCCTGACTCACCTGGCCCAGCCGCACAGCTTTTCCCTGGGAGGAGGCCCCCTGCTTCTCAGTCCCGCCCTCCCCCTCCTGAATCCATTTCTCTCTGCTGTCCTCCCCAGGCCTGTAAGTTGTTCAACTACACGCACTGGCGGCGCACTTGCGACACTCTCTTCATCATCTTCTCCTTGGTCTTCTTCTACACTCGCCTTGTGCTCTTCCCCACGGAGTGAGTCAGCCCTCCCGCTGGGGGTTGGAGAGATGGCCGGGTGTGGCTGAGATACCTCACCCTTGGTTCCCTGATCCAGGGAGCTGGAGTTGTTGGCTGGGAGGCTTCCAGGAGGAGGCAAGGCAGGGCATTCCCAGCACAGGGCGCAGCATATGCAAAGGCCCAAGGGTAGGAGAGACAGAAAACTGGGCTCAGTCATCATCCCGTGTGCATGGAACATGGGTTAGGAGCCAGGGTTGGATGCCAGTTCGCCCAGTCATCCCAGTGCTGAGCCTCGCACACCAAGTCGAGGGAGCCATGTGAGGGTCCCTGCTTGCTTGGAGCTGATGCTGGTGGGTGGGGAAATAGAATAAACAAGGCAGACAAGTACACTGTGGAGTACGTGAGGGAGTGATCGTGCTAAAGAGAAAAAATTGGGAAGGGCAAAGGAACTGTGTGGATAGTTGGAATTTGGGTGGTCAGAAAAGACCTCACTGATAGAGTTCATAGAGACTGGCAGGAAGTGAGGGAGAAAATTACTGATCATAGGGGAAGAGTGGTCCAGGCAGAGTGGGAACAGCATGTGCAAAAGCCCTGAGGCAGGACCATGCCCAGCATGCTGGAGGAACAGAGAGGCCTGTGTGACAGAAGCAGAGTGAGCAAGAGGGAGAGGGAGGAGGTGATGAGCCAGAGTAAGCGGGGCTTCTGGGCCTTGGGGAGAAGTTGGGCTTTTATCCCAAGCTAGGTAGGAGCCCTGGAGGGTTCTGAGCAGAGGTGGGGTGGGACCTGACAGTACTCACGGGCTCCCTCTGGTGGCTGCAGGGGGAATAGCTGGTGAGACATTCGAGCAGGAGCTGGGGGCCAGGGCAGAGGCGACTGCCCTGGTCCAGGTGGGCAATGATGGGGCTGGACCAGTGTAGGTGAGAGAAGTAGGTGGACTCGGGGAGGGTGACTCAAGGGCCATGAGTTGCTGCTTGAGGATCAGAAGCTCAGCTCTGGCTGTGCTGGGGTTTGAGGGACTTGCAAACCCCCACCAACTACCACCACCGAAACGTGGAGGAAGCAGTGGACACCCACCTGGGGTTCTGGGGAGAGACGTAGATGTCCAGTATTTGTAGCCATGAGACAAGTCACCAGGGACCAGGCATGGACAGAGAAGCCCAGTCCTGGGGCCCCCTGATGTTTGCAGGTCAGGGAAGCCTGCAGGGATGGAGAGGAAGCAGCCATGAAGTGGGGAGATGGGAGCGTGGGTCCCTTGGCAAGCTTGTGTGTTCTACTAACTTAATATAACCAGGTGAGGGAGGTACTTAAATGCCCAGATGAGGGACACAGGTATCAGTCTGGGGGTGGGTCATGGGGAGCCATAGAAGGCTCTAGAGCTGGGAAAGTCACACACGTTAGTGATTCCTAGGACGGGGGCCTGCCGCAGCTGGTGAATCCTGGCCTCTCCTCGCCTACTGTAGGATCATCTACACCACGTACTACGAATCCATTGCCAACCTGGAACCCTTCTTCAGCTACTACTTCTTCAACACACTTCTGATGCTGCTGCAGCTGCTGCACGTGTTCTGGTCTTGTCTCATCCTTCGCATGATCTACAGCTTTATGAAGAAAGGCCAGGTAGGGCCGGGCTGGGCAACGGTGGGCTGGTGTGGGCCTCCCTGGAGCCTCCAGCCCAGCCCCATACCTCACCCCTCCCTCCTCCCGGTTCCCCAGATGGAGAAGGATATTCGCAGTGACGTGGAGGATTCGGATTCAAGCGACGGGGAGGCCGCCCCAGAGGTTCCGCGGCTGAAGAATGGGGCAGCTCATCCAGCCTGGAGTGGCCCCCACCGATGGCCCTCGGATCCGGGCAGCTGGGCGGGTGGCCAATGGGCACACACGAGCCACATAGATGGCCAAGGACTGGCCGCGAGGGGCTGCCCCAGCACCCGGCAGCTTGGATTTGTGGGGTGGCTGGACCAGCAACCCTGGGGCCAGCTGTGTGGAGACAGGGAGGGCCCTGCCCTCAGGTGGCGGGGAGGGCTGATGATCTGTCTCCAGCCCCTTCCTCTGCCCACCCTCCCTCCTTCCCTCGGGTAACTGGACAGCCGGGGGTGGGCAGTCACAGGCTGCTGAAGTCCCCCAGAGCCACCTCTGGGGCCTGGGGATTATGAAGAGCTCCGGGCAGAAAGGGGTCCAATAAAACTTGAACGGAGCCACCTTCTCTGCCTGAGAGTCTGCATCCCTGTCACAGCTCCTCAGCCATCTCCTGGGGCCCCAGGGCAGCCAGGACTTTGTACCTCACCAACAGGACACTCACAGCCGCCCACCCCCAGAGACCCCCCCTCAGGCGAGCCCCGGGCCCCCAGCCAACGCGTTAGCCAAGCCACCTCCCTCCACCCCAGGGCAGCCCTCAGCCAGCTACTCACAGACCAAGGACAGGTGAGCAGGTACAAGGCTCAGACAGGTGGAGTCCTTCTGCCAAAGGTCACAGAGGACCGTGCAAGAGGGTGGAGGGGAGGCTGAGCGCCTGTCCCTGCAGCCCCTGTGCGAGGCTGGCAGAACCCTATCCTCAGGGTCTCCGGGGCCTCCCTGGAGACAGTGAAGTACGAGCTGGGGGGTAACTTCCTGCAGGTTTCCCAAGGTCCACCTGGGTGAGTTCAGTGTCTCCTCAGGAGCTGTGCGGGAAGGTGCCCTGACCACTCCCCAGAAGTCACAACCACAAGGTCCCACGCCAGGCCAGAATGTGCTGCCTTCAGGGGGATACCAGAGAGAGGGGTCAGAGGAGAGAGTCAAGAGATGGCTGAGGGGCAGCAGGGAGAGGAGACATACAGCCGGGATGGGGCTGATGGACACAGGAGGGAGGGAAGGGGGCAGGGGGTGGATCTCGTCTCCTGTGCTTCTCAGCAAAGAGGAGAGGGTGGGAGGGGGAGAGATGGCAGAGAGGAGAACGTGTCCACTGAGAGATGAGGATGGAGGGGAAGAAAGGCAGAGAAAGGAGATTCAAGAGGCAGGCTTTAGAGATGCCGAGAGAGGAGCTGGAAAGACGCGAGAGGGAAGAACAAATAAAAAGAGCTGCAGGTGTCATGGAACGAACAAGCAAACAGGAAAAGAGAAGGAAGGGACAGTGGGAGAGACGGAGGGAAAGGAGGCACTGGAGAGAAAACAGATGAGAGATTGGACTAGGAGCATGGAGAGAGGATGCAGAGACCAGGAGGGAAGGAAGGGAGGCGAGGAGAGAGATGGGGAAAGAAGAGGAAAAGCCAGCACGGTGTGAAGGGGGATCAGATAGAAACGGGAAAGAGGAGCCGTGAAGCGGAAGAGCAACAGCTCCTAAGAGGAGCGGGGAGGAGTGGAAAGGTGAGCAGGTGGTCTACAGGGGAGAGGCAAACAGCCTGGATGCAAATGAAAGGATGCTCAGCCTCGCACAATATACACAAAGCACAAATTCAAACTACCAGGAGACGTGCTTTCTCGCCAGCTGTCGTGACAAAAGGCAGTGACAGCATCATCTGTTGGTGAGATTTGCAAGGAAGATGGACCAGTCCAGGACCACCCCCGATGGGGAGTATCTGGCAATGACCAGAAGTGCAGATGCCTTTCCTCTTCATCCCTAAAGGTAGACCTAGATCTTCCTAACACACCAACAGATCAGGAAGAAAAGGACAACCGACTTCAAAACAAGAACAAAAAGCAGAGTGGACATTCACAGAAGAGAAGACACTTAGGGCCGATAAACTTATGAAGACTTAACTGAAATCTCATGAATAATCAGGGAAATGCAAAGCAAGACGATGAGATACCACTTCAGACCCATTGGATTGGCAAAAATGAACTGGCCAAAGCAGCAACTGTCGGACAAGAGAGAAATCAGTAGGCTCACATATATGACTGGGGGTGGGGGCAGGGGACGGTAAATTGGTACAATCATTTTGGAAAACCATTGCCCATCATGTGAAATTGTTGACCGTTTTATAATGTTCAAAAGCAACTCCAACAAAACGATGTATTTTTGAGGCATGAACATCAATCTAGTGGAATTTTTTTAATAAACAGAAAACAAAACTCAGAATAGTGATAAGTTCCCTTTGATCTTGGGAGGTAAAGGAAAGGGACTGAGATCTAAATTGCGGTCACTGTTCAAGGATTGGAAGTTGTGAGGTGTAGTGACAGACACATTATATTATTAGTCAGTACAATTTAAAAGGAATATGCAAAACAGACAAGCTGCAGGACAGGAGGAAACATTTGCAAACCATGTATCTGAAAAGGCTCTGGTACCCAGGATATATAAAGAACTCTTACAACTCAACAACAACAATATTTTAAAGATGGGCAATATTTTAAAGATGGACTTCAATTGACATTCCTCCAAAGGAGATCTGCAAACAGCCAATAAGAATGTGAAAAGGTACTCAACGTCATTAGTCCTAAGGAAATGTGAATCACAACCACAAGATACCACTTCACACCCATAACCATGAATACAGCAAAAAATAAAATAACCATTGTTGGTGAAGATGTGCAAAAGTTGGAACCACTCTTATATGTGCTGGTGGGAATGTAAAATGGTGTGGAACAGTGTTTCGTCGTTTCTCAAAACGTTGAACAGATTCACCGTATGACCTGGCAATTCCACTCCTATGTATATATCCAAAGGATTGAGAATAGGGACAGAGATAAATACCTGTATGTGAAATGTTCATAGCAGCACTACTCCTAAGAGCCAAAAGATCAAAACAACCCAAATGTCCATGATGGGTGAATGGATAAACAAAATGTGATACATCTCAAAATGGAATATTATTCAGCCACAAAAAGGAAATACTGATCAATGCTACAGCGTGAATGAACCTCAAAAACATTTGCTAAGTGAAAGCAGACAGACAAAAGATCACACATTTTATGGCTGCTTTATTTATTTTTTTAATTAAAAAAATTTAATGGAGGTACTGAGGATTGAACCCAGGACCTCATGCACGCTAAGCACACACTCTACCACTGAGCTATACCTGCCCCACTATGACTGCTTTTATATGAAATATCCAGAGCACCTAAACCTATAAAAACAGAATGCAGATTATGGTTGCCAGGGGCAGGGGGAAGGGGCAAGAGAGAATAATTGTTTCACAGGTAGAGTTTCTTATTTTGGAGAGGGAATCTTAATAAAGAATTCCCGACTATCAATGAGAAAAAGAGTTGCCCTGAAGAGAAGAGGCCAACAGAATATAAACAAGTCACAGGAGAGGAATTTTTAACACATGGGACAATGCAGTGGAATACAATTCAGTCTTACAAAGGAAGGAAATTCCAACACATGCTATGACGCAAATAAACTTTGAGGACATTATGCTCAGAGAAATAAGCCAGACACAAAACGACAAATACTGTGTGATTCCAATTACGTAGCTAAGTCGTATCTAAAGTGGTCAGGGGCTGGGGGAGGGAGGAATGGGAAGGTATTTAAGAAATATAGAGTTTTAGTTTTACAAGTTAAAAAGAGTTCTGAGGACTGGTTACACAATAATGTGAATATATTTAACCTTACTGAACTATACACCTAAAAATAATTAAGATGGTAATTTTTATATTGTATTTTTTTTACAATTTTTTAAAAATGGGAAGTCAGTAAACTATGAATAGAGAGGAAGTTCCTCAACTTTTAAAAAGTATCTACCAAAAAACAAAACAAAACAAAACAAAAACCCTACAGCTAGCATCGTACTTACTGTGAGAAACTCACACCTTTCCCACCGAGATCAGGAGCAAGGCAAGAATGTCCCCTGTGCCATTCACCATACTGGAATTTTAGCTAATGCAGCAAGACAAGACAAGGAAACAAAAGAGACACAGATTTAGAAGGAAGAAATAAAAGTGTCTTATTATTGTAAGATCATCTATGTAAAAAATCAAAAAGAATAAGCAACAACAATAAAAAAAAACCCTCCTGGGACTAATAAGCCATTATAACAACATTGTGGGATACAAGGTTAATATACAAAATTCAATCACTCCCCAATGTACCAGTAATTCAAAAGAATTTGAAATTTAAAACACAATACTCTTCACATTAGCACTCCCCCCCCCAAATTAAATACTTAGAAAGGGTAAAAATCTAACCAAATATGTACAAGTTCTACAAGAGGAAGACAACAAAATCTGATGAAAGAAATCAAAGGACTAAATCAATGGAAAAACAGTCCATGTTCATGGATAGGAAGGATGACTCAATACTGTCAAGATGACAGTTCTTCTCAGCATGATCTATACAGCCAGTACAATTCCGATCAAAACCCCAGCAACTTATTTTATGGATATTCTCAAGTTCTGGGGGAGGTAAAAGACCCAGACCAGTCAGCACAATATTGAAGGAGAACAAAGTTGGAGGGCTGACACTACCCGACTCCAAGACTTTCTATGAATGTACAATAATCAAAATGGTATAGTAGTGGCAAAAGAACAGACAAGTAGATCAGTGGGGCAGAAGAGAGAGCCCAGAAACAGACCCACGTAAATACAGTCAACTCATCTCTGATGAAGGAGCAAAGGGGGAAAGAGAGTCCTCAATAAATGGTACCAGAACTGGACATCCACATGCAAAAATGAATCCAGACCCACATTTGATACCCTTCACAAATTAGCTCAAAATGGACCTCGGACCTGAATGTAAAATGCAAAACTATAAAAATCCTGGAAGACAACATCAGAGATGTTGTCTAGATGACCTTGGGCTTGGGGATGACCTTTAAGCCATGACATCAAAGGCAAGATCTGATAAGCTGGATTCATCAAAATTAAAATTTTCTGCTCTGTGAGAGACACTATTAAGAGAAGATAAGCACATACTGAGAAAAATTTGCAAAAGACATACCTTATAAAGGATTGTTATCTAAAATACACAAAAAACTCCTCTGGTGCAGCCACTATGGAGAAAGGTATGGAGGTTCCTTAAAAAACCATACCTCAATTACACCTTAATAAAACTAGAAGGAAAAAGAATTGTTAAAGCAGTTTCATTGTATTATAACATTCTACCTTTCAAGGGGGCATTGATAAATTAT